CCCACCTCAGTGTGACCATCACTCAGGACCATGACCCTACCAGTATAGAGGGCAACTTGAACCAGACAACAGTGACAAGCACCAAGGCTGGGCCAACCTCCCAGCCCTAATGGAAGTGGAAGCGGATGAACCTTGCCGTACGGGAACTTCGGACGCCAGGCTCATGCAATTTTCTACAGGCCCAATTCAGAGAGTCTACTCATCAAGATTACCCAAGCAAGGCAGGCCAGCGCCCGCGGACACATMCTACCGTCCTTCCCCTAGCTTACCCAAGGCTAGCGGGAGCCTTAGGGGAGCAATGCGGCGAATCCCTAAAGTCTACTTGAATTCCAAGAGCGAAGTCCCTGATGGTGTACACCGATCGATTTTCTATAGATTTATTCCACTGGTGGTGGCAAGTGGTGAGGAAATGGTGAAGCCTATCACGATTCTGCAAAAGAGTACACGTGCAAAACCCGGCGGAATATGCAGCGGAATATGAATGGACGATGTGCAAGTGCAAGGACATGTTGTTCTGCACCATGATTCTGCCAAGGATTGCTGTTCAGGGTCCAGCGTCAAAGGTGGTTTTCTTTGGTTTTACTTTATTTCAGGATATTTTCAGAAGCTTCAGGATATTCTCAGCAGCCTCAAACCCACACACGACACGCTGGTCCCCAAGGCTGAAGACACAAAAAGAATGAGCAACTGCTTTCCGCAGGCCAAGTGTGGAAGAAAACTTCAGTCAAATGTGGACCTCAAAGATGACTGTGCAATAGCTGCTCTGTTTCACCATTTCAGAAACTCTTTTCTTAAGGCATACTCACGAATTTAGAGGACACTTTTGCTTGGATCAGGCTGTGAAGATCATGGCGAGGTACTAGRAAAGTCTCTGCCGTGAGCATGACCACATAGTCTTGTTCTTTTGATGCTCTTGTGCTCAGCTGTCTAATCCCCGAGAAATCTGTGTCCCGACCTTGAATTCAATYRTCGTGTGACACTTCTGAGGCACACTGCGGCGGCACAAACCTCACGGTGACCTCGTTTGTTATCCATAACTATGGTAACTCCCACTGTCTCCCCGCAATTGTTTTAATTGAATCAGCTAGAGGATTGGAATCCCGCCAGTTATAAAAATAGGATTGGCTGACAGGTCTGACAAATTCCCTCTTTCGTAGCGAAGGCTGTGCTTTTCTTGCTCTCTTGCAACATGTGTAGGATATCAAACCACCAGTACCCTGCCATCGTATCTCTAAGCAGCCGCCAGTRAACCTGTCCGTGGGCGCCGGCTTGGCTGACATCCTGGTGTATGTGCATGGTTATCGAGTAAGACCCTCGGATTATAGAAAGGCCTGTAGAAAGACTGCTTGAAAATGGCGTCTGAAGTGGCCACACGGCGTGGTTCGTTTGATTCCGCTTCGACCAGGGCTGGGTGATGCCCAGCATTGGTGCCTGTCACTGCTGTTCGGTCCAAGTTGCCCACCTACTGGTWGAGTAATGGTCCTGAGAAAAATGGCAAAACGGGTGGTTGGGAGGGTTTGGGCTGATATTGCTTGACTACTTGGGGCTCTGTACCTGACGGGTGGAGAAAAAAGATCGGTCGAAGAGGGGTCCAGAATGTAAGTTGGGGCTCTGTACGAGACGGGCGAAGAGAAAAAAGATGGGTCGAAAGGGGGCTCGGAATGTAACTGGCCCACATACAGCTGTGAAGGACCTGTGAAGCTCACGCTCATTTGGAAAATACTCTTACAAAGATCGGCCGACAGAAGATCTTGAAATGAACGAAACGGTAAAGGACCCGACARCGTATGCATGGATCTCAAAGCGCGGGTTGAACTGGAATCTGGTCAGTAAATCTTGCSTCACTAGCACGGAGTTCAGGACATCAGCTGGAAGGCTTACCGCGGCGACACGTTTTTTAAAGCAAGCTGTATCAGCCAAC